AGATCACGGCCATCTCCCCCCCACCACCCTGAGCACAAGTGCGGCCATCTTCCCGCCCCCCCCCCCAGCACTACCAAGATCACGTCTGTCATCCCTGAACGCGCCTGTCATCCCGGCGTGCTGGGGGGCGGGGTGGAGAGACAGGTGAGATCGCAGGCACACTGGGGGAGAGAGAGACGGGTGCGAACGGGGCACGCTGTGTGAGGGAGAGACGGGCGCCATCTCAGAAATCTCCCCCCCCCCAGCACAATTGCAGCCCTCTCCCCACTCGGGGGTGGGGGTTGGGGAGATGGCGCGATCATGCTGGTTCTGTCCCTGACATAAATAACTCAGGATTCTTACGTGCCCGGGTTCACGCACGTCTTCCCTGCACGAACGCAACTGCAATCGTGGCCATCTCCCCACTTGGAGGTGAGGGGAGATGGCTGCAATCTTGCTCACTACCCAATGCGGAGTTCGCAACCCAAGTCAAAATTTTCATGAAATTTTTGTTCGCGACCCAATTTGGTCATGAACCAAGGCGTTTGTGAGCCAAGGTACCACTGTACTTTTAATCTTCACTTCAAAAGAGCATTTGTGCAGTGACACCATCTACCAAGCCTCTTACTGGTTGTTGGCACTATCTGCCTTTTAAAATTACATTGCATTTATATCCTGCCTTTTTTTCCTCATGCGAGCAACTCAAGGCAGCTCTCTTCTCCATTTTATCCTCACAACAACAGCCCTATGAGGTAGATTGGGCTGAGAGTCTGTGACTGGCCCAGAATCATTTAGGAGCTTCATGGTTAAGCATGGACTAGAATCCCGATCTCCAGTCCAACACACACCAGCACACCACACCGACTCTCTAACCACCTCACTCAATCTCCTGTCTTTGTTTCCCTCCACTCTTGTCTTGAGTCCTTTCCTGCTTACTCCTTGTTCCCCCTCTCTATTGCATGTTAGCAAAAGGAGTCAAGGGGTTTCTTGGATAGCATTCCTGTGAAAGGGACTGGTCTGGGCAGGCCATGCTGGCCGAGGATGAGGAGGGTTTTAGTGCAACACATCCAGAGGGAATCGGGTTGGGAAAATGTGGCATAGGAACAGATCTTCCCAGCTATTTCCTCACCTTTCACTGTTATCCTTTAAATGAAGGGGAAATGCCCACTGCTTCTTAAGGGATCTGTGGAGGAGACTTAGTCTGATGATGTGAAGGCAATGCCCACATGCAGCTCCACTGTGGAACTGAAATATCTTCATGTCTGTTGTGCAGAACTCCGTCTTTTGCTCAATATTGTCTTGTTCTGGAATGAGATTAAGTTTAAAAAAATATATTAAATGTAAGATGTTTCATGAGTTAAAACAAGCTTGATGATTTAAATTATTGCACATGTTCTTATTGGCACTGAAAAGTAACTATCACTTTTTCTAGAGGTAGTTTTCCTTGAAAGCCCCTCCCAGATGTTTCCAAGTGTACTTCCAAAAACTAGAGCCACTTCTTTTTCATTTGAGATGCCAGCTCTGGATTATATAAGGAAATTTCATCTCCTAGTTTAATAATTACATTTATCAGTAGTCTTAACTGTGGCCATTATTGCTTGATTGCTTGGGGCAATTATTGCTTATCAATATCTTTGACTGTGGCACTCAAGCTAGTAGAAGGGCCACTTTTCCCCTTCGTAGGCTGCAGTTTGATTGCACTCATTTCTGATTAGCTTTGGGCTTTTTTTTCCATCTTAGCTGTAGGTTGCTGGTGTCATTCTGCACTGGACAGCTTTAGGGCTTCATTGGCTTTAGGCTGGATTTTGCCATTTCTCTGCCTGAACAAAGTGCTTGTCATACTCCTCTGCAAGGTATAGGTGTTTACCTATGCATCTATGCATCTGTTTATGGCACAATACATAAGTATTGCATGAATCTGAAACATCACATCTTGCCATGGGGGGAATGTTGAAGCTTGCCCTGTGCTTGCTACCTGAATTGTGAGTGAGTCACAGAAGCGTTTTTTCCCCCTTTGTTTATAAAGAAAAGATGTGATTGCATGTGAAAAACAGGTTATAAAGAAAGGGTTAAAATATAAAGGAAGACTCTTCTTGGAGCTCCCGTAACCACACAGTGTTTCAGTACTTGAAGTCTCCATTGACTTCAGTATCCAGCTTTGCCTCAATATTAAGCATTAATGTTAAAATTATATAGCACTGAGCATTTTTGTAGATGTGGGTTTTAGGAACTGAACCAATGCTCAGAAAATAGAAGTGGGCCAATCTTTCTGTTTAGATACTGTCCCATTCTGTTTTGTTTTGTTTTGTTTTTTGCTTTGTTTTGTTTTGTTCTGTTTTGTTTAAGACCTTCACATTCTTTCAATCCAATTTATGAAGAAATCCATGAATTTGGGAAAGTTCTTACCAGAGAAAGAGTGGAACAAAGTTCTCATCCATCATTTGATAGTAAGGAAACTATTCTACTCAGATTGTGTTGCTTCACCCTACCTCTCTTTCCTTCCAGCTATAAATTAATGAAGAGGCTTTTGTAGCTTAATGAAGATGCTCATCAAATTGTTGAAGAGCTAAATGAACAATTCACTGAGAAGGAGAGATCAAAGTCTGCTGTAATTTGGATTTCTACAGAGTCCTGTACTAAGCTGCTCAATTAGCATTCTATTTGTTGACAGCAAGAGTGAGAGGGCATCTCTTCTATCAAGTCCAAGGGCCAGGCATTGCCAGCATTCTTTATTGGGAATCCATTGGTAGTTAAGATGGACTTGATTTTTTGTGTACCATCTTGTTTTTCTTCATCCCTGGGCTCTTCGTTTTCAAAAGCTGGGTCTGTTTCACAGCAGGAGAGTTAATTTTAGATCTTGGGGGGGCATGACCCCTTTTTGTGATCAGTATTTATTTATTTACATGTATTTATAGGCTGCCTATAATTGCCAAGGCCTTCCTAGGCAGCTTACAATACATAACACATATTAACAGAGTAAAACACATTAAAACCAATTAAAATACAACTAATTAAAACATCTGTGAAAGCAATTAAAAAGGGCCATGGCATTCAGGCTAAATGTTAAAAATTTGCCTAAAAAGGTATGCCTTTGCCTGGCGCCTGAAGGAAAATAAAGATAGCGCCAGGCAAATTTCCCTAGGAAGGGAGTTCCAAAGATAGGGAGCTGCAGTGGAGCAGGCCCTTCCCCTGGTTTCCACCCCTCTCATCTCATCTCCCTGAGGGGTTGTTCTTGTAGAAGGGCCTCCTGAGCTGATCTGAGAGGGCGGGTAGGTATATATGGGTGCAGATGGTCCTTTAGATAGCCATTCCCCAAGCTGTTTAGGGCCCCTTGTTTGGCTGCTCTGTTGTTGTTTAGCAGTGTTGTTTGCCCAGGGTGCTTCTGGATGAGGCTTTATCACCCTGCCTCATTCATGAAATTCACGATTGTCTTCCATTCATAGCTCATCTGTGTTCTCCATTGCAGCTGCTTCCTCCTCATTCTTTTTAACCTCAGAAAGTCTGTTAGGGAGTAAAAGTTGGAAGAGCCGCAGGGTGTCCTCCAACTGTTAGCAGCAGGAACCCTTGGTCTGGAAGCAGCTCTTCCTTGCTGTGCTTTAAGTGAGAGGGAAAAAGGGAAGTGGGACGGTTTCATTGCAAGTTATACCAGACTCAGGCCTGCTGAAAAGAAGTTGTTTTAGGTTCACCTGAAAAGTTGTGGGATGACCATGAACCCCATCCCATCCCACTCCTGTCTGAAAATGCTCATTTGCATTTTAAAGCAAGTCTGCAGTTAAAATGTCAGACTCCTCCAGATAGAGCTTTCTGGAGCCTGGCATCAGACCTATTCTCCTCTTACTTCCTATCCTCAGAAATCCATTGTGATCTGTGTAAAATTTGCATCATTTCTGGATTTAGGGGGTTTCCTTGGTGAACAAAAGGTCTTTTAAAGGAATAGAATTATTTATTATTGATCATATGAATGGCAGCCATAATGGTGTTGGTGGGAAGTGGTGTCATATAGATTTTATAAAATAAGATTTTCAGTGAGGCAGGTTAATTTCCCCTCCTTTTCCTGCGTTGTAGAGTACATGCAGTTATTCATTAGGCAAATCTGTACCTCTGGCCAGCTCACTGGTTCGCCTCTTTGATTGCTAGTACTTATGAAAAAATAACTATTAAATACCCAACTGAAGGTCAAATTTCTGGCCACGAGGAAATGCTTTCTCTCTTCTCAACTCTCTCTGTGTGTTATTTACCATGTAGCAGGAACATTTGTTGTTGTTACAAGGTTGTTACAATGAAAATAATCCTGACAGTGGCTTTTAAAATAAGCAGCTTTTCCCTAGGTTCTCTTTGCATGTGTTCAAGAGGCTGCAGCCCTGTATATGAATACCTGACAATAAGCAGAATGGGTCTTACTTCTAAGTAAACAGACATGGGATTTTTCTGCTATGTGACATGCTGAATTTTTTTACTCCACTTTGACCCTGCTATTAAAATCTGAAATGTCACTCCTGTGCTCAATGAGGTGAACTGACATACATTCATTCATATTGTGAAGCCATGTGCATTAAAATATAGTACCAGTTTGCTATTCTCAGAATATATGAGATCGGATCCAGATTTTACTCCTGCTCGTGGAAGCATCCTTGAGTAGAATTCTACTCAGGATGGTTCTGTTGGAAGAAAGTAGAGGATCAAAGGGACCAGTTTTTGCCAGTTTCTCCTTCTCTTCTCCACTGCCACTTATCCTGTTATTCTAGAGGGTCCCCCAGTACTGCAGAAGAGCAATTTGCTAAATTAGTTTTCCTCCATTGGATCAAAAGCTTTCCATGCACCAAAGGATCCTTTCTGTCCATGGAAGACAAATTCTAAGTCCAAACCAATGATACAGATTTTCTTTCATTATTAGTTTAGCTGACTTGTTTCATAGGACTTATAGGAATATTACTACTTCTGATGCAAGACTGCAGAGTGCATTCATGGTAATATGATTGGGTAGTCCTCTGTTTAACATGGTATTCCCATTTCCTTTGCAGATTGCATGTGGTTCAGAGCACAATCTAGCAATAGTTGGTAAGTACCATTATTTTTATCAGATGCTTTGAACTCTTTCTTTTTCAAATAGAGATGAAATGAGGAGCCATCATCTATGCAAAATGTATTGTATTGTTTTATACTAGAAGCAAGTTGCCAGTTGCAGCAGAGGAAATGAATGTTGTATGTCATGACATGCATACTCTTAAATGGGAAAATGAGACTTGGCAAAATGCTGACTTTAACAGAATTTGGGTCAAAAGTCTTTGATGGGCAATCAAGTATTTCTCTAAAAAGACACTGTGGATTCTAACACTGCCAGGGACAGATTGCAAATATGACCTTTGAAAAGCTGCCTGGCAAAAAGGAGGGAGGCGGTAGCTTTGAGGGGTCAAAGTACTAAAAATAAAAGGACTTTTTAATGTTTTTTCATTTGGTTTTGTTCTATCAATGTTTTAAAAGTTAGCAAAATTATAAACAAGAGGAATATTAATCGCATGGAAGGCATATATGAAAAGCAGCAATAATTTTTCTGCTTATGGCATGTTTCTTGGTTAGTAATCAAGAGCAAGTTAGTCATGCAGAGCAAGTTGGCTACTCATCCATTCTGAAAACAGATAAGAAAAAAATGCAGTCTTTCTACATCAGAGATTTTTAAATGTAATTTACAGGTGTTTTCAATGACATAGTTATCCTCCAGTTTTTATCTGTTTTTAAAAAGTTTTTGGGAAGTCTATTAGAGGAGGGAAACTACAGGAATTATTCAAGAAAGCAAAAGCAAATGTTTTTCTGCTTGTACAATTGTGCTAGTCTACTGTGCTATAGTGCCACCTACAGCTAGAAAAGCAGGAAAAGAAATGTTGTGTAGTGCTGGGATCTCAATTATGTGGCTGAACTGAAAGTAGATACAGATGATTAAGAGCGCTATATAGAATAGCTCTTAGGCTCTTCACAGAAAGGTTTCTGTCTAACTCCAGAATGCAGTATGACATCCGAAATGGATTCTGCCATATGTTCTAGCAGTGTCTTATGCCATCCTTCTGCAACATAAGGTACTGGATTACAACTCCCATCATTTCCAGTTATAGTCCAACACATTGGACATGCAGTCTGATACTTCTGGGGTTAACTGCAGGTTGGTGCAGCCTGCCTAAAGCCATTTGCTTGGATATATTATCATGCTTTTTTAGGACATGTCTCCCTCTGTGACCTGGTTTGCACCTAATGACAACCTAGAGAATGGTTGAATATACATAGTCATTGTGGGGAATCATGGTCTGTCATCAGGTTCAAGCCCTGTTCCACAGTTTAGCTTTGGGTTGTTAACCACAAAAAACAAAAACAAAAACAAAAACCCTCAGGAAGCAAACCTATGCTTTGCAGTTGGCTTTTTAGCTCTGGGTTGTTCGCGTTTAACAACCCATAGACTTGGTTTGTGTGACATGATAGAATACATGCCCCCAAAGCTGGGTTTGGGTGGGAGAGAGCTGCCATGCTGACTGCAGCACATCCTCTGCTTCGTCATTTTTAGTGAGCAACAGTTTTCATTTATGGCTTAGGATGACATGTGAACCAGAATTTTACAACCCATTGGTTAATTCATAGTTTGCTGTTGGGTGGTACAGCAAATTCACTGGTGGCCAAGCCCTCTTGCCCTGGAGGGTTACAAGGAGGCCTCACAGGCTAGCTTAGACCTACGTACCAGAGGTTTCCTATCCTTGCTTTATAGGGTGAGGATACTTGTAAGCAGCTTTATGTGAAAGTGCAAATAGGATGAGGAATGGATGAATCCTCTTTGTCTTCTGCTTGTATAGGAGGATCTTTGGACTTGTACAAGAGAAGTAGTAAAAACAATAATAGAATATGCAGTTCTAACATAGCAGAATTTATTTATTTATTTATTTAAAACTTTTGTCTCCCATCTGCTACCGAGGTCTTGGAATGTTATTGCTGTTTTTTCTTAGAAGGAAGACAAAATGAATCTTTGCCCTATTTACTCTGCAAACTCAATTTATTCTCAATTAAGTTCAAGAATGCTGACTCTATTATGGTAAGAAGCTTTGGCCCAGGAAATACTCCTAGCAGGTTATGAAAGGCATATTTCCATGGCAGAATGAGCACCAATTGGGAGCTAAGGCTGGAGCTGCATGATGGACATCTCCCTCCGTTATGCTGACACTGTTATTTAGATGTTTGTGGCCATCATATACAGCAGGAGACATGACCCTGTGTCTGATGTGCAACCCCTGGGGACTCAAAAGACTGTCACTAGGAGATCATTAGGAATTCTGCTTTTTTTCATACTCATCTAATAGCTGGGGAATCTTCCAGTGCAATGCAGAGCATTCACGTATAGCAAGAAAGCGCAGCATGCTGTTCTGTTACTTTTATCTATTATACATGATAAATTCTGCTTTGACTAGTCTGCATCGTAAGAGCTTCCTGAAAGAGCAGCATGGAGGCATGTTAACAGCACCCTTTCCTTTCTCATTATGGTCCTAATCACATCTGTAGGTTGTTAAAGGGCACTTTGCAGGGATGCTTCCTAACAACACAGATTGTTGATGCATTCTAGCATTTCCATGAGATGGACACTGAAATATGTCAGTAATTGCTGGCCCTTTTGTGTATGATTTCCTTGCTAATGTGAGGCAAACAGGAAGGAGTAGCCATTCAACATCTGGAAGCCCTTTTACAGTTATATAAATATTAACTGGAGTGTAAGCTGTTTGATACAACATCCAGATTTAAAAGCTTTAATGAACACATGCAAATGAAAATGGAGCAAAACAAAATTGTAAGCAGGTGGGAAATTTAAATACAGAATAAATTAATGGAACACAGCTAGCAAACAATGTAAGCAAGAAAATAGGGGTTGTTGAGCTGAGCTGGTAACAGCGCCATTTAAACAAATATGACAAATATGAGACTATTAACATTTATGCCTGTTAGCTGCAAGAGAGATAGGAAAAAAGAACTCCCAACAGAAAAGTCTGTAACTTACACAGTGGTAGTGTTTCTTAAGTAATGTCAAGTCAACAAAACCTCTATTGCAGGTCAGTTTATACATTGTTATCCTTGTTTTCAATCAGATGCCTTAAATGGCACCCCCATACGCCAAGTAAATTTCTAAAGAATTTATTTAGCTCCTCCTGATATGTACTTCTGATATACTGAGTTGGGATCAACCAAAAATAGACAGCAAAAGCCAAAGAGAAAATCCATTATCAATTTGGACTTTGAGCCATGTGCACAGTGTGATAAATACATGCAGGCACCTCATCCAGTATATAAATTCATAGTTTATGTGGGCTTTTGAAAAAAATACAGAACTCATATTTTTACAGGAGGTGCACATTTACAGGAAGCTACATTTTAACTGGAAGCTAGTAGGTAGCAAACTGGTTCAGAAAAGCCTGAATAACAAAATTAAGCATGGTGGTTTCTGCCTTTACAAATGCCTGCAAGTCCCACATGTATGGCAACCACCAGCAGTACAAATCTGTGCATTTCAGTGACTCATAGAATAAGCCTGGAAGTAGCCCATCACAGTAATTTAATCTGAAGTGCTAGAGAGCTGAAGTCAAAGAAATGGCTTCAGAGATGCTTTTATGAGGCTTGGAGCATGTTATCCTGTTCTCAGCACAGTGTCATTTGGCTTGCTGGAAAGGCCATTATTTCCAGGCTTGGGGAAACAGGTTGTCTTGTTCAGGTGTGAAAATGAAGGACAGATATCTCCCCATTGATTCCTGCCCAGAGAATGGAGTTTCTAAAAGGGGTATGGTTGGCAACCTGGGCTTCTGGGCTGGCTCTTGAGCCACAAATCTTGGTTTCAGCCATTAGATTTTTCAAAGATAGTGGAAGACATGACCTGTGACTGTTAATTTGTGATTGTGACATGACCTGTGATCGTTAATTTGACCTGTGTCCTGCGACTGTTACTGAATCCTGCTCGTGACTTGACACAGTAGTCACCAAGATTTACGTTCAAAAGTAGCACAAGAACTGCATTCAAAGGCAGAACAAGTGGATGTTCCTTGTAGAAAAGGTCTGCCTTCCCTTCCTTTGTTCTTTAAAGATATTAATAATTTCAATCGAATTTTGATGCCATCTTACATTGGCTCAAGATGAGTGTTGCCACATGGTCTACAATCTGCTCAGAGTTTCCAAGGAATTGTGCTTCACATTGCATCTCTTTTTTTAATGATCATCAAGTGGCTACCATCAATGAGCAAAGGTAGCTCCAATAAGAACCCTGTGACTATGTACCACTCTACTTAATCTGTGTCCTTCTTACATATGACAAGTCTCTATTGCCAGCGTATACCATCACAAATGAAACCATATTGCTGCTTATATACATCTTTGGAAGTAGTATTATGTGATTTTCAAACACCTGGACACCAACTACACTATGTATATATGTATTACTTTCCTTTTCATGAACATATATTCATGCAGGGAAAATATTGTCTATTGAACAATTCTTGTTAGAATTCTTGTTAGTGTGGTTTCCCTTTCCAACTTGGATCCAGGTATGTATCATTTTTCCCATAGAACTTGCTTTTGTCATAAGATAGAACTCTGTGGAGAATGCAAGTTTGCAGTTATGACTATGAAATACACAGAAATATTGAATGAACATACTTAAGTAGTTTGATTTTAATGAGATGTGTGTCTTCCTTTTTCAGTGTCGTAAAGGCTGGTGATAATACTCTATTCCTTTTGCCTCCATTAAAAAATTCATTCCTGCTTTGTGCAGAGTAATGTTTATTTTCTGCCACTGACAGAAATAATTCATATAAGCATCTCTCTCTATAAATGGCAATATTCGATTTTCTTATGGCACACTGCCTCAAACATTTGCTTTGGAGCACTCTAGAAAATCTGCTAGGTCTAGCTACTTTAAAGGCATTATTGAAGAACAAATTTGTCAACTTTGCAAAAATTCATTACCAGAGACAGGCAAGGTGATTTAAAGAGTAGATAAAATTGTTAACAGTGTGGTGGATCTATACTACAGCAGGAACAGGAGATGG